TACCATAAAACAATTACTGTTGCTATCATTTGTGAGCTGATTGTGGGTTTTGACAACCATTTTGCTGACTTTTTGGCAGCAAGTGTGAGTTTTCCTGTTCAATTAGTCCTTTGGGAGTGCTCTCAAAATCCTATGGAATCATCTGACTCCCTGCAGGAAGCACTGATTGGTATTAATTTTCATCCTTTCCCTTTTGATGTTGGAGTAGACTGAAACACTTCCTGCTTTTCTAATGTTTTTTTTTTTTTTCTTTCCACCTCTCCTCCATCCCAAATGATTATAGTATTTCCAAATGCAAGGGGCTAGTTGTGGAAAATTAAGGAATAGGCTCCTGTTACGGGCTCAAATGTCTAAGGATCCCAAACGGGAAACATAAATGTGCCTTTAGTAAGAATCTGGATGTGTTGATTAGTGGTGGCTGCAGAGTTTAAATATCCCTGGTAGGTTGGACTAGAAGGAATGTTTCTCCTCTGTATGCAATTGTAGCTAAGTAATGGAAGAGCAAACAACTTTTAGACTGAACCTAAAGTTCATTAGAGCTATTTAATTATAGTCTGGAGCATGTGGGTATATATTTCTATTTGATTTGAAATGGCATTATGAAATGTTTCTGTTATAACAAACTCAAGTTAGAAAAAGGTAAAACAATATGTGAACAATTATTTTTATGTCCTTACTAACACTGTAGAGATTTTAAAAATATTTTAACTTAGTGTGTTTAAGAAACTTAAATTTGTATTTTATTTCTAATGTTAAAAGTTTACTTGCCCTGATTTAATTATTATTTTATTTTTAAGTTTAGAATAACTTCATTAATGTTTTTTTTTTTCCACCCTGGAACTTTGTCATTATCGACATAACTTATGTTTGAAACAAAAATCATTGAGTCTGAAACACCTGGTATTATATTTACTTGTTCAGAGATTATGAGTTCCACAAAGTTAAATTAAAACTGCAAGAACGAATGGTGCAATTGCATTCTGTTCTTTTTGGATAGTCTGTAACTTGATAGCTGAAACAAAAAGTAGCATAAATCCATGGGGAAAATGCAGGATTGATTGTTCCTTCTTTGTCTACAGCATGCTCCTTTGTTAGCTATGTCAGCACTTCAGGGTAGGGGAGATCAATTCTTTTGTGGGTATTGCCTCAACTAACAACTCTTCAAAAATACAGTTATAAATCCTTGAAAATAGAATTGAATAGTATCAATGTTTTTCTTTTTATTAGACAAGTTTAACCAGCCTCTTCAAGTATGATTTAAAGTAGGTGAGGCTTTTGAATATTTATCCAATGGACATTGATCTTGGAGTTACCGATAGGGCTCAGTAAAAGAAAGCCAAATATTAGCTTTCCTACTGTGGGACGACTTAATTAACATACCTGAATGATCAAAAATATTTGAATAAGTGGCGCAGCACTTGTAAAATTTAAAAACAAAGTTTGAGGGCTTTGCTACCTGAATTATCTGATAGGGAGCCTGGAGTACTTAGGGAGATAACTATATTACTATGGTGTGAAGAATTCAGATAAATGCAACTGAGTGAAAGACAAGATCATCAGCAGACTGGATGATTTAGTTAAGCAGAGATGACTTTGCAGTGAGGTAATGTCCTAGAATACTTATCATTGAGTAGTGTTAACAGGCAATGAAAATTAAAAAAAAAAAAACCAAAAAAAAAAAAAAACCTTAGCTCTAACTATAGGATATTTTCCAGACAGGAACTTACAGAATTTTTTGGTATCTTTCAAGATAAAAGATAACATAAGAGACATATTTGAGATAATTATATGTGGAAAAACATCAACTAATTTTGAATGTTCTGAAAATAGTAAAAAAGCAATGTGATGGGAAGATGATGATCAAGAAAATGACCTTAGATTATGAGATAAAATTGAATATTTAGAGTACCTGTTTTATTATTTTTTTGTTCATTATGGAAAACATTGCTTTGAGCTGAGAAAAGAGATTGGGTCTTTATAGATTAATACTTTGTTTAAAAGTTTGCTGATTTTGTTCCTCTTGTGTTTATCAAACAAATTAATGTAATAACCACTAATCCAAAATCCTCCAACCCTTGTTCTCAAATAAAAAAAATATGTTTTAGACTAGCTGCAAATGTTAATATCACATTGATCCCTGAAACTTCCTTGTCCGGGCTCACTTATTGGGGTACTTTCTTCTGATTAAAGACTATAGAAGAAAATCCATGTCGCTTGATGACTTCAATCTATAAAGGCTACTCAACATTCATTTCTGAATTCTCCTAGTGCCTAGTTTAGTGCCTTACAAGTACTTAATACACATTTTATTGATTGAATAAATTATCTACATATACAAGGAGATTCAAAGTCAGAAAAATAAAAGAGCTCAAAAGATAAATCTAGGAGATCTGGTTTTAGTTCTACACATTCAGTACAATTAAAACAAGATTTGTTCAACTCCTTGTATGTGCAAGCAGTTGTAGTGAACGTGGAGGCACAAATAGAGTTCCAAGAACAACGTAGCTGCAGTTTGGTAATGTATACGCATATACAATGTAATGTTATAACTACAGATATTAGCTAGTAGAGGAAAAAAGTTAGCAAATTTATAAATGATCATTTTATGTATACTTTAATTTCCAAAGTTATTTACCTAAGATTTTGCCTTTATTATATGCCATTAGTGGCTTTGTGTGTCCTCAAGTTTGCATTTCAGAGAAGACAGGCCTCCCTAAAACTTTCACATGCTAATGACTGTAATTAAGGTAGAAGGCCTTATTTAAATAGTAATTAGCCTTCAGGACTTGATGTGTAAACAGAACTCTAATTCATTAAGATAGTTAATTGGTCTTCTGGGTTAGAGATCTTAGCATGGCCCTCCCCTTTACTGCGTTGTATTCTGTACCAAGTATAGACAGTGTATTGACTCAGTGGGATGAAGTTTTGCAAACTCTTGTTGGACTCCCAAGAATTGTAGCTTTTAACTCTCTAGTAAAGACTAACACGATGTTTTCAAAACATCGTGAAAACATCAAGTAAAAGTCTATGGCGAAATCATTAACATTTGACTTTTCTTCCTAATTATGAGAACCACATGGCTCAGATTATTCATGCAATTATTGATAGTGTTCCCTTTCACACTCAGGAGTATTTTGATTTGGAGATAAATTATGTAGTCACCTTAATCATAATCAAAGATGGATGACAGAACATACAGCCATTCCTGAAACTACAGTTGCGGATAAGATTGGTTACATTTTCCAGTGAACAAATGTCAAGGTCCTTCTCTTTGCTTACTGGTATAAAGATAATGATGTTATTAAGTTTAAAAGGTCATTTTTTTTTTAAAAAAGGACAATTATTGTACTAAGAATTTTACCATTGCCTTTGCCAACTTTCCTGGTTTGCTAATCACTGTTTCTTAAAAATAATCTCTATGTTTGATGGCTGTGTATCTCTGTGTTCCCCATTCCTACAGATAATTTGAATAGGAGGTGGGTCTTATGTTGTTTTGCTTTTTTTCTTTCTTTCTTCTTCTTCTTTTTTTTCGTACAGGCTGGGTCTTGCCATGTTGTCCAGGCTGGTCTGGAACTCCTGGCCTCAAGGATCCTCCCACCTCAGTCTCCCAAATAGCTGGGTTTACAGGTGTGCATCACTGCCCAGCCTGCTTTACTTTCTTTAGTATTTCTTCTGCTTGCTTGCTCCAGCTCATCACTCTATTCAACAGATGCTTGGGCTTGCTGCTACCCATGTTTCACAAACGTGCATCCAAACAGACCTGTATAAATAGTGCAGGTTACACCAATTCAACCATTATGGAATGAATGCAGTGGCTGGCACCGAGGAGGCATTCACAGACATTTATTTAATGAATAAATACCAGCAGTGCCTTTGACCCGTTGCTGAGTGCTACAAACTAGGTGGTAGGAAGAAGGGGAGGAGAGAAAGCTCTGTATAATATCAATAGGTCCTGCCCTCAAGGGGTTAACAGTCTCCAAGAGGAAGATGTAAATAAATAACCATAACTGAAAATAAGAATCATTAAGTTCCAAAAGAATCTCCAAGCACGAGTGGGGGACGTAGAGGTTGCCGATAAAGAGAGCTTGACAGAGAGGCAGACGTTCGAGTTTAGATTTCCTCCAGTTCAGCGTTAACTCTGGCCCCAGGCTGAGTCCCAAGAACGTGCACGGGCCCTCCCCCGTCAGGCGCTGAAATCGTGCACATGCTTTTTTTTTTTTTTGGCTGCCTAACAACTTTCCCCTCACGGTTAATGACTAATCCAAAGGAGCATTAGCTCACTTTGCAAATATGAAATTATAATATGGCAAAATGTAAAGCTGAAAGCTACCAAGCCATTATGATTCATTTTAGCAAAAGTGAGTGAGCTACGTGGTTAGTACTCCATCCAAAACATAAATGAAATAAAATTATTCTACTTTAAGGAACTTAAAATGAGGCTTCGTGGCAGAGCAATGCTGTGACACAAAGACCTGCGGATCCCGCTTTAGTTTCTTTGAGCGTGCAGCTGCTCGCGCGCAGACAGACCCGGGCCTCCGCGGCGGCGGCTCCCCAGGCCGCGCGAGCGCTCCGCCCCCGCCCCCTGCAAAGGAAAGTCGGGCCGGGACGCTCGGGCTGTGTGCGAGCCGGGATTAGAGAGGGAAAGTAACCGGAGTCGCCGGTTTCGGGACCCACCCCCTCCCACGAGTTTCACTCGGGTCCTCGGTCCCGCCCCCTCTTTTATTCGGGCGGCGACGCCCGGCGCTGCAACTTCGTAACCCGAGCGCGCACGCTCTGCGCTCTGCCCCGCCAGGGCGGCCGGGAGCGCGGCGGGAGGTGGGCCCTCGGCGGGAGGCTCCGGGACGCCGGCGCGCGCGGAGCGGGGACCCCGGGCGGGCGCGCGGCCGGGAGCGGGAGCCGAGCGGGAGCCGCCGGCGCGTGGGGAGAGCGGGGAGCCGGTCCCGGCGCGAGGCTCCCGCGGCGAGCCGAGGCGGGGGGCTCTGGGGTCGCAGCCCCGCGCGCCCGCAGCTGCCGTCGCCCGGGAGCCGCAGCTGTGCCGGGGGAGGAGGAGGAGCCGCCGCTGGACGGTGGCAGCCGGAGGAGGAGCCGCACAGCTGTCCCGGGTGCCGGCGAGAGGGCCGCGCTGCCGTCGCGGAGCCGCGCTGCGATGACCCGCTGACCGCGGCCATGCAGCGCTGACCGAGTCGCTCCAGCGCGCAGGGGACGGCCGGGCACCGGGCACCGGCGGCGGCACTTTACCTCCGGCTCTCTTGCCCAGCGGGGAGCGAAGCCGTTTACCATGGACCCTGTGACCAAGTGGAGCCCCAAACAAGTGGTGGACTGGACTAGAGGTGAGCGGGCCTCGGGGAACCCCGGAGTCCTCCAGCCCCGGGGAGGGGGCGGGGGGCTGGGGAAGGGGTGCGCAGCCCGTCCGGCGGCGAGGAGCCGTGAGAGCGTGGCGCGGCGACAATGCAAACTTCTAACCAGTGGCCTGCGCGCCCCTGTCGCCTGTGCCTGCTCCGAGCTATCCTTTCGGGGGTGCGGGTTGTGGCAAGCGGAGGGGAGCCCCATCGTTAAACCAGGGGGCGAGGGTGCCCTTTCTGTGAAGGGTGAGGGCTGGAAATGCAGACAGATCTCGGGACCCGGGGCGGCGGGCGCTGCCCCTGCCCTGCCCGGGTGCGATGCCCGGCGACCTGGCTGCCCGAGCGCAGGCACAAGGCGCCTTTGTGTGGGCGACTCCCGCCGGACCTCGTAAATGCCGCCTGCCCGGAGCAGTCCGCAGGCGCGACGGGGCGGTTGGACAGGTAAAGGGACACCCCGGCGGCTCCCCGCGCCCGTCTGTTTTTGTTGGAGAAGGCTGACGGCCAGCCGACGCCGCGGCGTTTGCGCGGGTGAGAAACGTCGGGCCAGGACTCCTGGGAGGCGGTGACTTTTGCTCCGGGAGGCGCCAGTACCCCTGGTGGCGCTGCATTTCCAGGCCACATTTAAGCACTGGGAAGGAGAAATCTAACTATTTTGAACAACTGTCTTGATTCATACAGTGTTTGGGATGAGGAGAGCAGTGGGGTGGGGGGGAACTGGGCAGTCTCACTTGGTTTTTACTGTTTCCCACGATTTCGAGGGAATGATGTTAGAAACCACCCAACCCTCTTTGCAGTCTTCCAAGAGAACAAAATCCACCAAAAAACAAAACAAACAGAAAAACCAATAGATATTGATGGGTTTCCCTACCCACCGCCCCCAATCTCTGTTTCAAGTTACTTTTTTTTTTTTCTGTCTGCTCTTCCAGGTGAGGAATGGTGTTCTTTCTCAATAATAACTAGACTTGTATAGCGCTTTACAGTTTGCTAAGAGCTCTATGTTATTGCCCTTGGTCATCACAGTAAGCCTGTGAGGTAGGTAATACTGGTAAGATCAGGTCATCTTTCCAACTGTCCCACCCATGGCTACAGCATAATGAAAACTGATCATCTCCACCTCTCATTTCTCATGCTTGTGACTTACTCATAGACCACGTGGAATGGGAGGTCCCAGGTGGATGGGATGTGTCAGTGGGTATGTCTGACCATTTCCTGCTCCTCTGGAAGAAGGGAAAGAATAATACATTCTCCTTGAGAAGGGGTTTGTCAAGTGACCAGGAATTCCTGGACTCTTATGTAAAATGAAGATGAAAACAAATATTTGTGCATTGGTGACTAGGTTTGCCTGGGTAAAGGGTAAATAGCATTGCCAGTGCTAGGTAGAAAACATTAGCTTAAAAGTTATAAATGCCCATACTCTAGTTTGAAATAAGGTATTTTCCTTCATTCAAGATACTACCAAATTCCCCAGGCTAGCATCTTGCTGAGACTGAGTTGATGATCTATGTCACGTGTATGTCCAGCATAGAGGCAGCCTAAGACACTGATAATTCCAGCAACCATTGATCTCTAGAGCCGCACTGTCCGATACAGCAGCCAGTGTCACATGTCGCTCTTGGGCCTTTGAAATGTGGCAAGTCAGAATTGCAAGGTGCAGTAAGTATAACATACACGTGGCATTTGAAGATTTGCTATGAAAAAAAAAGAATGTATAATACCTTATTAACAATTTTTATATTTATTTACATTGAAATGATAGAAATTTGGACATATTAGGTTAAATAAAATATATTACTAAAGTTAACTTCACCTAATTATTTTTGCCTTCTGAAGTATGGCTCCTAGGAAATTTAAAATTACACATGGCTCACATTTGTGGCTTGTATCATTATATTTCTATCCGGCAGCACTGCCCTAGAGTAAAGAAAGGGTTACATCTTATCACTCTGGCTTTGCTGCTCCGCTGCCAGCCTACTTGATAATGTACAACCAGAAAAGTGGTAACAGGCACACAGGAAGATTATGGAGTGAGATCTTCACACCCTTGAGATTTGTTTCTTTTCTTTTTTTTTTTTGTCCCTCTTGGGATTGGGAGAAGAGAAGTGTTAATTCACATTCTGTTACATTTGTTTAGCATTTATAAGGAAGAGCAGATGAAAACATGTTTTCAGTATCCTGTTGCCTTGACGTTAGGACTTAGTTGAGATTGCTTTCATCTAGGATAAGTTTTCTATTGACCTGAAAGAGGGGCTGTGGCTGGCTCAATACCTTGCATGCTTTAGGTTACATACCTGTGGCTAGCACTTGACAACTTTATACAAAATGCTCCTGTCCTTTTGGACCTTGAAGTACAGGCCCATAGAAATATATCTGTATATCTTCTGTGTTAGAATCTGAAAAAGATAAAAGAAGCAAGTGTATGGCTAACGCTTAGTTTCTAAGATGCTACATTCTCCCAAATTGTAGGACACATTACTTGAATATTTCTTACAATAATGATGCACAAGTATTGACTTTTTAATAAACTATTGCCTTATGCAAACTTATTTGTTTATAGGACTATTTTTAGCTGTCTTTGCTTATCTCTTTACCCAACCTTTATTTTATAAATACATCCTACTAATAAGCAGCTCCTCATGTAAACTTTGCTGCTCTTGGTATTGCATGGATCCGAGTGGAGTGATTATGAGCACTGTAGAAGGCCTTAAATTTAAAACTGTCTAAACTTGACAACAGTCTAGAGATGGATCTCATGTCACTGTTATTAGATGGATGCATTCATAGGGAGAGAAATTGCTTTCTACAGAATGAATTAATCCATTTGCATTTTATTATTAATCTTTAGCTACACTGTCACCAATTTTATCATGCTATTAGTAGATCCTCAGTAAATATTAGTGGTCGATGCATTGTATAAATATCAACTCATTCAATATGCACAACCACCCTTTGAGGTAGGAACTGTTATTTCCATTTTTCATTTGAGGAAACTGAGTCACAGGGAGGTTAAGTACCTTGGCCAGTGCCACCCAGCTGGGAAGTGGTAGAGCAGTGTTTGAACCACTGTGGTTTGGCTTCTTTCTGCTCCGTCTTCTTTTCTTCCCAAGACCACACCTAGACCACACTGAGAATCTTCACCACATTGATGAATAGATCTTCAGATTCTCATGATATGAGTTGCTAATATCCTATGTTAGTGGATGAAAGTCATCTAATACATGTATATCTTATTCTGCATATTTGGTTCATGTCAGAAAGCTATTTGTAAATCAAATTAATTCCTAGTTTATGGCACCTTGCCAGTCAAATAATTCAGTAAAGGCTTTTGCAAAGCAAATGATCTTTTATAACATGTAGGGTCAACCGCACATAACAGAAAGCCCAGTGGATTAACCAGATGGGAGGACTCCATGGTGCTGTCAGGAGCCCAGGCTCCTGTCATCTTATTCATGGCCTAGGATGTGGCCTTGTACATGGTGTTCATTTTTATACTTGCAGCCTCAGTGCAAGAAGGCTGCCTCGTCCCAGTGTTGCATTCCCATTCCAGGCAGGAGAAGGGAGAATTATAGAAGACAAAAGACCCGCAGCAGTCAAGTCTTCCCCTTTAAAGAGTTCTTTGAGGAACTCCACCAAGTGACTTGGCATACATCTCAATTGCCAGAAATGTCCTGTGGCCACCTCATGCTGCAGGGGAGGCTGGTTGTTGCAGTTTTGTTTTGTTTTTAGTTGGGTACTTGGAGAAAAATTGGAGTTTGGTCAATAAGGAAGAAGGGGAGCATAGATATTGGTAGGCAGGCAGTAGGGTCTGCCACGCAGGAATTTACATACATGTGCCGATTTCATGGGTCAGTTCTCAAAGTAGAACACGTATCGCATTTCCCACTTATATCTGTCTAGCTCTGTTTTAGAAATAGTGTTGTATCTTCATCCCTATTAACTTTTCTCAGGTCAAAACCTTAACATATCTGAGGCCTTTTTCTCTAAGCTTGATTTAAATATGAGAAGTTTCGTTGTCAAACGCAGCTAGCACAAGTTGTGTTTCTGCTTTCAAGCCTTTGGGGAGTGTCTTCAACAAGGAGGGGACTGGTTGGGGAGTGTCTTCAACAAGGAGGGGACTGGTTTGTCTCGCAGGTCTGTCCTCTCCTGGGCCTTTGATCAGCCTGGAATGGGCAGGCTCCCGCTAAGTATGTAGTTGAGTGATCACATCTATAAAATCCAGCTTTTGTCCCAGGACAGAGGTCTCTCTGTCCAGCTTTTGGTGCTGCTAGTGCAGGTGCAATTCCCCACCAGCAGCCAGGAGTAAAGGGGGCTTTCTCACGCAAGGTCTGAGCCAGGGGCCCAGGCACTGCTCTTTCCCCGTAATGTCTATTACTATCTGGCACATCCGCAGATCGGGAAGGTTCTTGATTAGCTGAGTGATAAGTGCCTCACTATTTATTTGGTCATGGAGAGGCTGGAATTTCCAAGTTAGCTACAGAGATCTGATACATCTTAGGTCAACTGTAACCTACTACCTTGAGCTGTTAGGCCCTTCCTGCTGCCATCCATACAGGAGGCTGTTCTTTTTGTAATCCTGATTCCAGTTTAGGTTCTATCATTTCTTTTAGCCTCTGTGGTCCCTGGAAAAGGGAGGCCCTTTTGTTTCAGCAGCTGTAGGTCCACCATTTGGTCACAGGTCAAAAAAATCTTCCCTTCATCCCGCTCTCAATTCTATTTCCTGTACTCCAGTGATAAAATTCTCTTAATTGTAACAATTGGAAAACAGGGATTGAAGCACTAATTATTAATATGTAGCAGATGCTGTTCTAAGGGCTTTATTTAGGTGCCCTCATTTAATCCTCCGGAAACCCCATGAGGTGTATGTACCATTTCCAGCCCATATTGAAGAAACTGAGGCAGAGAGAAAGAATTTGCTCAGGGTCCCATGTTTTAAGTGGTGGTTTCTTCAAGGCTGTCCACTGTGTTATCACTTTATGACTTGTACCAGGCAG